TCTCTATTTAAGGAAAAGTCATAAAAATATGTTTAGTACCTAAAATAAAAGTACAGATTATGTAGAATCATAAATGTGATTTCGCTTTAGAGCGATATGTTACCATGCATGAGTACATTTGTTTTCAAATCTGTAGTAAATAAATAAATGGAGTGCAAAGTAGAGTGTTTACAACCACAATACAGCGGAGTAGAAATACTCAAACAACGTACAATAAAACTTTATTTTAGTGAAGTGCTCAAATGGACCATGTGACTGGCGTTGGTAGGGGAAGCATGGACTCATTTATCTGTGACTGATGAGTCTGTGCCACTAGGTTGTTTGAATATAAGAAGTTTATTATTGTAATTATTATTGGATTTAACAAGACAAATAAGGTGGAAGGTGTTCTTAGGGCGGAGATCACTACGCCTTTCTTTTATATACAGTCTGTGGAGGAGACAAAAACAGCGATAAAAGGGAAGTAAGTGTAAAACCAACCTGGTGATTTACAAGTTCCAGATGGAGAACCGTCTCGCGGCCTAATGAAGAAGTGGTTTCACTTCGTCAGTTCACTCAAAACAAAGAAATTCACATCATCGGCATTCTAATCGGTCCCATCTAACAAATCAGCTTATTCTCTGCTGATGATGATAGCTATGCAGAATATTGATGCAGCTCGATATTCTCTTCTTGTTTTTGAAGTGTAGCTTCAGATATTCATGCCTGGCATTTTAAAAGTAGTGTTTCTCAGTGCAGCCTTTTAACTCTGTATGTGAAACTCTTTCCCATATGTCGGCTCCTTTTGTCAAAGCTGTCCTTTAGTGTCTGTGATCCCACACACCAGTCATGCATACATGAGCGCAAACTCTGTCATTTTACAACCTGAAGGTTTACTGTGACCTGAATTATTCTAAACCTGAGTAGTTTTTATTGCCTAAATCCAATCAGAGAGTAATAAGCGAAACAGACCAGGCATCTAAAACTTAGTGCAATTCACAAATGTGCCAATCGGAGATTTTTGTCACCTGTGCATCCTCTTAACGCAGTGTTTGGAAGCCTTATAGTTGTAATTAAGTGCAACATCTGTGCAAATACAGAGGTGATGGAGCCACCCAGCTATTTCAAAATACTTCCGATTTGCTAAGAAACTTGATCAGCTGAGATTCAACCTCAGGCTGGATTCAACACCTACAGAAAGAAATGACAAATTTGCTCTGTCCATTTTAAAATTAATTAAAAAAAAATCTAAATTAATCCTGCTCAGCCTCCCATTGGCTGTTGCAGACACACTCCAGCAACTATGTGCAGGTGATTTACGTCAGGGGAAACTTTAGGTGTGAGCAGCTTTAAAGACAGTGGATATTTCTGCCAAAGGACACTCCGTACCAGAGATCACGATGAAATCTGCAGCATTATGTTAAAACACGATATTACAGGACTGACAAAACAAAAGCTGAGAAGCACAAAATCCCCATAACAGTCGACCTGTATTTGCAGAGTTCAGACATTTATTGATCAGCTCGGTTAGTGAGAAGATTCAGAGGCAGTATCTCCTGACACTGACACAGCTCACCCTGTAGAGTCTCTGCCCCACCTACCCAAGAAACTGAATGTCATCCATCGTCTGCTCCCCATATTCATGTCTGTTTTGCCATCTTTAAAAAATTAAAAGGATAATATTCCCTCTTTCAGGCCTGGAGGAATCTCGGTGCACTACTCTCTGGTCTTTGAGGTCAGTTCCCCTCAAATCACCTCTGAGATTTCAGAGAATGCAACTGACACGCCCAAGTCTTCCCCAGCCAACTCTGCACTCAGGGAAATGGTGACCAAGGCTCTGCGTGAGGAGGCGTCCCTTCCAGTCGACCTGGATTCAATTAACTTTGAACCAGGTAACGTCTCTCCACAGAGGTCACTCTTTGGTTTCATTTATATGGTCATCGCACAAATAAGTTGAGTGTAAAGAGTCATGAACAGCTCTACTTGCATTTTTTAGACGCCATGGGCAACATCCAGCTACTATGACACAGCTGTCTCAGATCGTCCTCTGTGATCCAAGCCCTTCAAAAGCTAAAAAATTTCTTCAGGACCTAAAGTTGTTTCACCCAAATGATTATTTAGAACATGTGAACACCGGCGTTGTTCAGTCTTCAACGAGAACAATGTTAGAACATTATTTCAATACAGAAGGATTCACAGCTACAGAGTCTGTAACCAAAAAAACACCTTTCATAAAGACTTCTCCAGTGAATTCTCAGAAAACAGTCGAAAACGTCTAAGCCCATCTGACACTTTCTTTTAAATAAGCCTCGTTTATCTGAATTAAAAATGAGGAACTGAATTAAAGTAGCTTCTCTTTAATTCAGTGTTGTACTGACCAATTGTAAACATAGAAAACCTTACATAATCAGGCTCCCAGGAGCTCTATGATGTTGTGGTTCCATTGAGAGTTTTGGGCTCAGTGACACCTGGAGCATCCGGTGGAAAGTAACGCGCTTTTACGTAACTCGTAAACTAATTTGGACAATCAGCTATTTCTATTTAGTTAAAGCATTTGAGGCTTGGTGTATAATTCCACTACAAGATGTTGAGAAATATGAGTAACTGATTGGTTTTATCTGATTTCAACCTGCTTTTTTTTTAATGTCATAGAAAAGATCCTCCTACCAGCATTGAGAGCCACTGCTTCAGTTGGAGTAATGAATCAGGTAAGACCATTTTAATGGTAAATGAAACTGTAGTTGGCTTATTTTAAAGAGAGACCACCCCAGATGAAACCCCATAGAGCCTGCAGTGCTCTCTATCCATCACGTTCTATTAAATTGAAGACAACTGATCTCCAGAACTGTGCAGGTCACACTAGAGCAGTCTTTGTTTGTGCTGTCTTGTACAGCTTTCAGTGTGATTGGTAACATATTTAAATACAATCCTTAAGACTTAAATATTGTAAATTAAAGTTGTCTAATAGTTGTTGTTGTTGTTGTTGTTGTTTTGTTTTTTCATTTTTGCCAACATGCCCTCCACAGTCCAGCGAGCCTGATTCACACAACGAGTTGGAAATTTCCACTGTGGAGCCAGAGGTTGACAAACTCTGGCCAGCAGTTTCCCTCACCCCCATGGAGAAGGAAAATGCCCTGGAGATCCTGCTTGACCCAACAGCAGTCCCAGATGATGATGCAACAGCAGTGACCGGTGGGGTGGCAGAGGGCAGCGATCAACTCCCGGGCTCGGAGGACGTTACTGATGAGTCGATTTATGTGAGTGAACCCGGGCCATTAAAGGAAGAGGGAAAGGGAGAAGAATTGCTGATCATTACACATGAGATTGAAACCATTCATCATGATGAAACCGGTAAACTTGTGCGAGACTACATTCCCACCCCTCCTGCGCTTCTTGAGCTGGAGACAGATGCTCCCTACGTCAGTTTGTCTCCTAACCTGATACCAGAGGGAGACCTGAGTTCTGTTGGTGACGACAGAGAAGGTCCTAGATTGGACACTGTTCAGATTACCCCAACCGCTAATATTATATTCACTACAATTCCTGCTGCAAAGGAGGCACCTGATGTTAGACTCCCCATCACAACACTCTCCGCCATAACAGCCCAGCCACCCACAAAGCCAACAGTAATACTTCATGAAGACGAAGAAGAAAATGCTCTTCCAGAGGAAGAAGAGGAGGTACATTTGGGTGTCTCTAAAACCCACGATGCTGGTGATATTTCAGAAACAAAGGATGTTTCAGAGTTGGAAAATGAAAAGGGCTTGCTCGAACCAGAAAGTGGGTTGGCAGTTGAACCTGATGAAGAATCGCTCAAGGTTTTGCAGGCAACTGTTGAAGTTTCAGAGACAGTTGAAGGAATATCTGAAGTTTCAGAGACAGTCAAAGAATCATCTGAAGTTTCAGAGCCAGTCAAAGAATCATCTGAAGTTTCAGAGACAGTCAAAGAAGTATCTGAAGTTTCAGAGACAGTCGAAGAATCGGCTGATGTGTTTAAACTAAAAGAAGTGGTAGCTGAAATTTCCAAGGTAGATGAACTTCAACAACCTGACAAAGAAGGAGCAATTGTTGCAAACCCTGATGAAAAAGTAGCTGAAGTATCAGTTGAAAAAGAAGTACATGGGGTTTCTGAACCAGAAAAAGAAGTGCCTGAAGTTTTAGAGCCAGACCAAGAAGTAGCTGAGGTTTCCAAACCACACAGAGAAGTGCCTGAAGTTTCAAAGCTAGAAAAAGAAGTATATGAGGTTTTTGAAAGGGATAATGAAGTGCCTGAAGTTTCAGAGCCAGTAAAAGAGGTAGCTGTAGCCTCAGAGCCAGGTTATGAAGTAGCCGAGGCCTCAAAACCAAATCAAGAAGTATCTGGACCTTTGGAGCCAGATCAAGAAGTATCTGGGCCTTTGGAGCCAGGTCAAGAAATACCTGCGCCTTCAGAGCCAGGTCAAAAAGTACCTGCGCTTTCGGAGCCAGGTCAAGAAGTACCTGCGCCTTCTGAGCAAGGTCAAGAAGTACCTGCGCTTTCTGAGCCAGGTCAAGAAATACCTGCGCCTTCTAAG